GACCTATAGTGATCAGCAATCCTGTAGACGTCTAGAGCAAAAGATTCCAAGTGAAGTGATGTAAGTGGACATACAAAAGAAAAACCTGGCTTTACATATAATTCATTGCAACTGGCTAACCGACATACCTGTAGGCACCCATCCCTACTGCTTGATATATCTCCAATTACATACTCCAGATCAATTACCCGCCGTAGGTCCTTGGTGGTGCTCAGTATACTCAGATGTTCAAAACGTCTTTTTTTGTTCTGATAAAGGTGTGACTAGTTCGGAGAAAGGTTTCGGGGATGCGCCTCGGATCTATGCCTTCATAGTAGAAAATAAAACATGGGCTAAGTGGAGCGAGAAAATTATAATTCCGTTGGGAGCCAGAGAGTTAAAACGACCGAGCCTAGCAGAACTGAGGCTATGAACAGTTGAGAGTCGTTATGAGCCTAGTCTTTTTTTTTTTTGTTAGCTCGAGAGTAATAAGAGAAAAGGGTGACATACATGCAGAAGAGATGTGTGTTGTGACCGGTGGAAGGTTAGAAAGAAAGATGTCATTGTCACCATTCATACTTATCCACCTTTACGTTTACCATTTAGTTAGTCGAGTTGAACGATAGTGGGGGAGAGGGTTCAATGAGAATGAGTAGGCTTCCTCACTCACCACAAAGTTGTTTACCGGCAATCGGAGTTTTCTTTCTGTTACCTTTCCGGTCACTTTGTCATTTCGTTTCATTTCGTCCCTGTTTCACCAGTCGTCGCCTTTTAAGATTCCGGCAGGCCCAAGGGTTCCTGCATCAGATAATGAGGCGCTGGCATACTGCAGAGGATGTACAGTACTATACTTGCGGATAATAATATCCGTCAGCCCATTGCCAATCTTGCTTATTTACTCACTCAACAATTATTGCTTTGCGCGCATGTACAACCCCACTCTCACCTCAAATTCACTATACATATGAATGCTCAATAATTCCTTCAGAGTCTGGGACAAAATTATTCCCACGTAACACACACTACTCGCGGGTTGCGGAATGGTCCCAAAGTAGTCCTTACTTGAGTCAGCGAGACCAAATAACCCCAAATTGATTCCTGAGCAAGAGGCATATCCATAGATTCAATCCTTGAGATTCCTTCCGGGTTCCTTCATCACCCTCATCCGTATAGTCTCTGGAACATATCTAATAGGGAAGTAGCAATCACCTGAGATCACTCGACTTCAACCTCGCGTCATCACTACACACTTGTAGATGTGGCACTATCCATTTTCCACAATATAATCGTTTTCTCTCACCAATAGATATAGTGTTTCTGCGGGTGGAAAACTAGGAAGAGGTAAGAAGGTTTACTGTTTCGGTGCAATGGTAATGACGGTACAGTAAGGGGAGGCACTAATACGGACGAGAGCATAGCCGAAAACCTTGACATAACCGGTATGCATAGTATGCATAGTACATTATCACATAGAAGACAGTACTATATAGATACCGGCACTCAAACCGCAATGCAACACCTATTGCCGGCACCCGGAATACGACCCCCGGGAGCTTTTCTATCACGGTGCCCACTTCAGTTACCCCAATCCACTCACTCGCCTAGGAAAGGACCTTGATCGACACCTATATAGTAACAATATAACACATCATTACAGGGTCGGGCAGCATGGGCTGGTCTTGGAAAAAGATGGTTTCATGATACCTAGAAGCCTAGGGGAACTATACCATATCATGACCTCCCCTCATCCACCTGAACGAATGCCACGCCACCAGCCAGCTGGCAAAAATGCCTACAAAATCATTGCAGAGGAAATCTGATGGAAATTTCGAGCACGCGATCCGCCTCCGTCCACCCGATTCTCGGGCTTCGGGGCCCCGACGACAAAGTGATATACCAATGAACTAACTAACTTGTCAACACGAGAAGTTAGCCTGCTTCCAAAACTCACAATCCCACATAAAAAAATTGATTTTTCAACCCCCAGGAGCCCCGCACGATACGATACCATTCGATAATAGCCAAGCGACGGGAAGAGCAAGCGTGGACGCCCCGCCTCTAATGCGGCATCTATTCGCGATATAGACTCCTAAACAATATAGACTCCAGAACAGTGAGCACAAGTGTCTTCGCACTTTCTGCCAAAGAGAAAAGACATGGTGGAGGACTATCCCGAAGTGTAAAGATAGCCCCAAAACAAGTGAGAGAAGTGGATGGAGAATGTAGAGGGGTGTTGGGGTGGGGGAGGGTTGATGGCCGGCCGGGGGAGATCAGAGAGACGGGATCTGAGTTCCTGCAGACTACCGTATTAACCCAGAGTGTGGCAGAGAATGAGCAAACATGAACCCTGCCAAAAGTCAAGGAATTGAATTTCCCCGCTTTTTTCCTCAAGTTGCAATGTCGATCAGGAATTCATGCTACCTTCTTGGGCTAATTGAGATTGCACCGACACTCTATGAGTACCCGAGTACCGTAAAACCACTTGCGATTCGCCGTCTTCGGAGGTTCCTGTCGATCGGATTCCGGATTAGCTCACATTGGATTTAGCTTGACGACTTAACAGAATCACGAAAACCAGTTAATGCCATTCAATGAAGCCAAGGGACTAAAGGTATACCGTGCTAGGGAGGCCCTAACCCTTCTTTTGAGCTGCTCTAATTGAGCCACTATGATAGTGAGGTGAGGGTGAAGGCGAATTGCAAGAGTTTTTATGGTACGGTGGTGGTATTGACGCATTTTTGTTTCCTTGTTTTAACCTGAATACTTTCACGTGTTGCTCGTATAGTAGACTAAAATACATTCTTGTCATCTATTCAAATATAGAGATAGAGAGCCGCGTTCCTGGATATTGTCCTTCACGGCCTATACAAACCCCAATTTTGCTGAAAAAAAAACTTTTCTTGAAACCCCCAGAAAATAATCTACTGTCCCAGAACTAATAATAATAATAAGCAACTACTCCAATTTATTGCATTGGTAGAATTGAATCCTTTTCTCATCCATTCGCCCATTCCAGAACTAGACTATACTTTCGTCCTTCTCCGGCACCAGTTCCGTCCCCAAAGTCCAATTCGCACATAACAAGGTCCCCGCACTAATAAACCCCACAACTCCCATAGTCCATGCAAACCCAACCCTCGCCAGCATTCTCCGGATCACAAGCGAAAACACGATGACTCCGGTCGGAGCCCCAGCCAACGCTAGACCAAGGGCGAGGGTTTTATCGTTATAGAGGTAGGTTGAGAGCATCCCACTGGCATAACCGCACAACAGAGTGTTCGCAATTCCAAGGCAAACGCCCTGCGAGAAAAACAGTTGCCAATACGTCGTCGAAGAAGATGCAGTGGAAATGCCTAGGATGAGCAGAAGCGTGCCCATGGCGTAGAGATGTCGAAAGTCGCCAGCATTGGGCCAACGGTAATAAAACATCCCGATGAGCAACCCAACAGCCTGCAAATACACGACGACTAAAATCTTGGGTAGCGGTTGTCCTAGGGTTTCGGTGTAATAGTTTTGAGCTTCAAGCCAGGCCTGGATCGGATTGTGGGTGTGAGTAATGCAAGTGCACTGTACCAAGTTGGAGAGATCTTACCATCTCGTAGCCGCTAAGGAGCAGGAACAATTAGTCTTGGAATCGACCACGGGGGTGGGGATTTCCTCTTACAAAGTGTTGAACATTGTGATATGGACCCCTAAGACTTGTGACCAAACCACCAACACATCATCAGATGGCTCCTCCAGTTCTTCAGCTATGGGGTTTTCCACTACCGCTGGGGCCTCAGGTCCTTCCCCTCCTCTCTGTTTAGAATGTATATCGGCCATATTCTCGCGAGAAATTTGGAACTTTGAAGTTTGGAATTGGAAAACCGCAGCCCTGCTGTTATTTAAACCCGGGGGTATAGTCGTATGCCAGACATCGCAGGGTACGCAGGAAAATGCCACCTCGGGAGAACGACAAAGTGGGACCCCATCTATACCGAAGCTCCACAACGAGCGTTTTGCACATCGAACCGACCCAGCGCACCTCCCTGCTCAGTAAGGGTGATGGATCCTGCCACCACTTTGGGGAGGTTTACGATGATTTAGGGCATGTTCCCCGAGAACGAGAGAAATTCAAAATCCCACGATGCTCGCTACTAGCTAGATATGGGGGCGAAGGGTTTTTTTTGCATCGGTGGCCATATCTTCGAAGGGAGCGTCCTAGGCCAGTGGTGGTGATGGTGACGAACTAGGGTTAGAGTAACATCACTATGAGCTTGCTTGCTGGGCGGTGAGTTAACCCCTAACCCTAATGCATGTTAGGAGCCCGGTTTGAGTAGATCACTCTCTTGAGTAACTACCACCTGCCGTGCTATAACCCCCAAGAAACATTCTTTAGGATACTGAGCCTGCTATCTATCATACATATCATAACTTTCTCCATGATAGCAGTACAGTACAGGTCTTTCCTAACATCTTTCATATCAAGGCAGGGAGGGAGAAGGACAACAATAATGCCAAGTCTCTGGCCCCCATCCTTCTAATCCGCAGGTATGATATCTAATTCTAATCTTGAATTGTGTGATTAACGCACATTCTATGAACCCTACGGATCAAGTTGCTACGAGAGCAGGATCTGCCCAGCGCCACATACACTTCGTAGTGCCACTTTAAGTGATAATCCTAAATTTATTGTAGGGAGCATTGCGAATTCTACACCTCCCAGCCTGTAAACCGTCCCGCAAACAACTCGACCCAAACCAACCCTAACTTGGTCTATCATTCTTCAAGTTTCGCCAAGACCAGTTATTAATTGTCCAACGTCCGCAGCGAAATTGTGGGCTGCCGCCTCCCGCTACCGGTTCCGAATCTCGCGTGTCTGCGCGCCGGTTGCAGAAGCGCCTCAGCAAGCAGCCGGGTTTCGATACCCGTTCGAGTACTGTACTAGTACAGTACTCATGCACAGCCAATCACCCACAGTAATTTTACTCACATTCCTTCCTTTTCCCTTGCACCAGCAGAATCCGAACAATAATCACAAAATGTCACTCCCGCTATCCGGGCCTTTGGTCATTGAATTCGCGGGGTTGGCACCCGGGTACCCCACCCGTCCCTTCCCCTCCACTCTCTCCCTCATACTAACGGGTAAAGAGTAGCCCATACACCGGCCACCTCCTGCAAAACCTATGGCGCCCGCGTCCTGCGCATAGACCCGCACAACGCCACTCCAACACCCGCGGTGGACACACTAACCGAGCACAAGCGCTCCTTAAAACTCGACCTCAAGTCCGTCTCCGGCCACGCCTTGCTGTTGCGCCTTCTGCCCAAGGCCACAATCCTACTAGATCCCTACCGCCCGGGCGTGCTGGAAAAGCTAAACCTCTCCCCGGCCGCCGTGCACGCCGTAAATCCGAAGCTAGTGTACGCGCGCCTCACGGGCTTCCGGCGCGACGGGAAGTACGCGGACATGGCTGGGCACGATATCAATTTCCTAGCCGTCAGCGGGGCGCTAAGCCTCTTCGGGAGAAAGGGGGAGGCGCCGGCGGCACCGGGGAATATATTGGGGGATTTTGCCGGCGGGGGGCTAGTCTGCTTCTGCGGCATTTTGCTGGCCTTGTTAGATGGGAAGGAGGAGAGGGTTGTCGAGGCGAATATGGTGGATGGCACGGCGGGGTTAACCTCTTTCGCGCGCTTCGAGATGGCGAAGGGCGTACGGGGTGCTTGGGGGAATGAGCGTGGGGGGAATTTGTTGGATGGGGGAGCCCCGTTTTATGATACCTTCAGGACCAAGGACGGTAAGTATATGGCTGTAGGTGCGCTCGAGCAGAGGTTCTACGAGGCCTTCGTGGAGGGAATGTTTAGGGGAACAGAGCTGCATGGGAAGGTGCCGGATCGGGAGGTCCCGACGAATTCGCCAGTTCTGAGGGAGTTGTTTGGGAAGAGGTTCCTCGAGAAGACCAGGGAGGAGTGGGAGGGGGTCTTTGACGGGACGGATGCGTGTTACGCCCGTGCTTGAGCAAGGGGATTTGATGGCGAGAGGGTTCGAGCAGAGGCCTATTGTCACGTTGAAGGGCACAGAGATTGAGGGCTCAGGGTGGACGGGGAAGACGTTGAAGCCCGGGGAAGGGGGGCGGGAGGCGTTGAGTGAGTGGTTCGAGCTGAAGGAGGGGGTTGAGTGGAGAGTTAATGAAGTGGGAGTCTTTGAGGACGTGAGGGATAAGGCGAGACTGTAGACCTCTCTTTTTCAAATACGTAGGATATATCGTTCGTTAGTATCAGCGGAATTTATGCACCTAAAGTTCACGCGGTATCATACTATTCCGTTGTAAAAGTGCATTGATGCCAATCAATGAATCATGAATAAACACAGCACAGTAATAAAAATAAAAAACCCCACCGATCCAGCCTACCCGCATGAAATGAACAGTTTCCCGAACCAGCCAGCCAGCGGAATGGCAAGGCAACAACGCCTGAAGCACAGAGGAGATGAAAGAGACCACGACGGAGACACAAACACGTAAAAAAAAAACCAAGAGTAATCATCCAGAACCTCTAGTGATCCGTTTCTGAAGAAACTCCTCCTGACCATCGGAGAACCTCCTCTTAAGGATATACTCTGTCTTTGTAACTCCGTTTTCCGTAACCGAGCGGGTAGTGGCCACCGAAGAAACCACTCCCAGACTTCCCTGTCCACGAGAGCCAGTAACCGCTCCTCCCGTTTTATTCTCCGGCCTGGTCGATAGCGGAAGGAGCTGTGCGTACGCATCCAACTCTGTCTCTCTACCCTCTCCCCCCTCCCCCGTAGCCTTAGCTCTCTCCCCCTCCTCACCTCCCTTCCCCTTCACGTCTGCTTCACCACCGCGACACACACCCCGTACCCAAACATCTCCAAACCTACCCCGGGGCCAAAACACTTCCTCCGCCCACGACCCCTTCAACCCCACCCCGGTGTCCTTGAGAAAGCTACTAAACACCTCCTCAGGATCCCGCAAGAATAGTTGTCGCTCTATGATCTTCCATTCTTCACTGATCACTCGCTCAACTTTGCCATCCCCTCTTCCTTCCACCACCTGTTGCGACCCTTCGCCAGAGGGCGTGGTTGGCTGAGACAAGGTCGAGGTGGTGTCACTCGTAGGAGTGTTATCCATGTCGGAGAATGTCGGTGGCTGGAGCATGCTTGGTACTCCGATCAGCGAGTGGAGGACGCCCGAGATTTGAGTGTTCGTGTAGCGGCGGATAGAGTCGAAGAGTGTGGGTTTCTCAGGTTCTGCCATAGTAGCTTATCCAATTGCTCTGCTTTGCATTCGCCGGTGTTGCCGTCCGTGTTTGTTTACTCGCTCGTGGGTAGCTAGGTTGGAGTGGTTTGGACAGGTGTAATTGTTGAGGTGAAGAGGAGGAGAAATAGAAAAGGGACGGTTGGGGTGGCGACAGCAGGGATATTATTAACTTATTCATATTATGATGCAAGTTTATTTGTGGGGCGTCCCCTAAGCTTCCCCTCAACGTTGTTTCCACTCAGCAACCGGCCGGCACACACAGCCCAGTCAGGAGACCGAGGCCCAGACACACCAAAATTGGGAGTTTTTTTGCTGAGAAGAAATCAAAAAATAGTATGATACAGTAATATGATAGCTTGCTTTCGGTCTCCTAGGATATGAGATAACTTTTTTTCGGATTCTTCTCGCCCAACGGGAAATGATGGATGCGTGCCCCATTTCCTACGCAGGGCAGTTGAGACACCTGGCCGTTTGCCATGAGGCTTAACAGTAGAATCCTTGCGTGTTTTGGCACCCGACCCCTTACTATAATACTGGTAAACACCCTGCATTGTCAGTAACTGCTCGAGTACGAGTAATCAGTGACCTTCGCTCTGCTACGGCACGCCCGTTCTGCTCTCATCTTCAAGGGTTCACCCCGACTGTGCCAAGCTTCCTCTCTGCCTAGATTATGTAAGATGAGAGGAGTTGCAGGAATACGATACCGGTATCATACTTGCAGCTTGCCTACGAATAATACGGCACCCTAGCACCAACACCCTGCAGCCTGTCACGCATTTCCAGAACGTCAGCTACGCCCAAAGCTCAGAAATACGCAGTCTACCCGTAGTCTATCATACCTTCCGGTTCCCTGGCGCATCCGACCTTCCTCCTACAGCTCCCAGACAACCGCCACACCCGGCCAACGCGAGATTTGGAGCCGCCCGCTTGTTACATAATCTTAGCGGGAGGCTTGGCACGGATTTAGAGGGTCAATATTCGGATAATCTAAACCTCCCAAGCTACGAGCCAATCTAGATCCTGAAGCAATGGCCAGTGGTCTGGAATTCGAAATTGTGACATGCACCCCGGAGCATTTTCCAAAGACGTGACTGACGTGTTACACCCCGGCCGGGGCAACCACCGCAATCTGAGAGACAGTAATTTCTGGCTTTCCACTTCATGATCCACATATCGACGCAATATTTGAAGAAACCGCATTGAAGAATTGCGTCAAGCCCTGTCGATAGCTCCTGAAGCTGCCGACTTAGACACCCGAAGGAGCTCCCGACAAAAACTCTTTTGGGAAGTCGTCTGGGACTGATAGCTGGTGATCATGTAGCATTAATGATTCACCCGATACACCCTCTCCTGTAGGAGTATTTGCACAGCCACCTCAACACCTCCCACGGCGCCCATAAGACCGCGCCAAGGTTTGTTTGTCGAGGTGCTCCCAGGCTGCAAATGGCATGCATCTAAATACGGCCTTTTCCTTGAAGTGAGTTCACACTTGAATCAATATCCCTTCCCCGAGTGATTTATTGGATTGCCCCGCACCGCCGCTGTTAGAATAGCAAGGTTGCAGTCCCATTTGTGGAGAGTATCGCTATTTATGTGGACAAACTGAGAAAGAGCTATCGTTTAGCCCTCAGCTGAGACCAATAAAAAGAAAAATGTCATCTGATATGCCTGACCTTACTACGAGTGGCAACCCAAACGCCCTGACATGAGGTCCAAGTATTCGGGTTCTTAGGGTACTATGAAGGGCGTGAGTGGGCTCGTGGTGGCATATGGGCGACTTCGTAATCCCACCGTGTTGCTATTTCACATAGAATACGCCGACATTTCAAGGGGCCCACCGCTGAGCGACCAGAACTGCCGGAAAAACCAGTGGTCCTCATACCTTCCTTCCCCTCCGCGACCCCGGCGGTTCACTGTGATGGAATCTTCGTCCCCATACCGTATCCCAATTCTCACCAAAGAACGCCGGATCAAGAAGAAGTCTCACAGCACACGACCGCTGAGCCACCAACTAAACTGCCTGTGGCGGCTATTCGCCGATCCGCTAGCCGAGGGATGGACTACCAGAGCGCTTGCTCCAAATACACTTACCCGCGCCGCCCTCCTAGACACGAGGGGGCCGCATTCCAAGGAGATAGCGAGCCTGCCAGTTTATTATCACAGGACCGCACAGGGTTTCCATTCCTCTCTTAACATGCGCGAGTTCGCCCCCACACCACCCGCTCGGTGGGTTTTCGGCAACACCCCTTCTCTTTCCCTCCTCCTCTCTCGCCCGTTTTGCTCCCCTCTCTGGCATGCTGCAAATACATAGGTATTGCTTAGGGTCGCTTTCTCCTCGGGAAATAGTAGGGGGCGACAATTGGGTTAAACAACCTGGTGTTGAGAGCTGAGCGGTGAAGTTAGATTCTGAAATATCTTTTAAAAGCGCTGCGGTCGAGGAATACGGACTCCGGGGATACAAAGGGTAGCTGAGTGCTCTATAGCATCACCTGAATCTCCAGATGCGCAGAGAACAAGGTTTCCTTTTCTTGATTGCTGGGTTGTCGCAATCCTTGAACAGTTGAGGAGGTTTAACCTATTAATCTGATCACTCGGAGTAACTGGGTTAAAAGTGTCTCGGGGGGGTCACGGGGCAACCGAGATGGTAAAGCTACCCCTGGACTATCCTATCCAGAATTTGCAGATAGTTCCATCACAGGCCACTCGGGGGGTGGGGTACTACTTGCAACTTGCAACTGTCCCGGTGGCCCCAGGGGACACCCCCTGGAAGACTGGACCGGACCGGACCACAATCCACAGCTCACCCGGTCCTGCGAATTCGGAGCACGGGAGGTTTTTATGAGGACCACACCTCGGCAAGACGAGGCGTCACTTTGCGGGCCTTGTATAATAGCCAGAGCCCGGGGCCGTATCCGAACACCCACGCTCGGAGGAAACTTGAAGTGCTTAGAAGTTCCCACCTTTTGTTTCGCTTTCCCTCATATTATTTCTTTCCAAGGTTTGCGGTGCTACGAGGGAGGTGTTAGTTCACCTGTCAAAAATTACCCGCCCTAGAAACAGAGCGAAAAAATGCGGCAAAGGGGGGAACTGCTTAACCCTCCCGGGAGACACGGAAGAATAGAAAAGCACAAGGGCTTATCGTATCATACCGGAGGAGGCAACTCCAACGACATAGTCCTGTCCAATTATTTGAGATTCTGATTCTGCAGGGAAAGGACTAAACTAGTCTGCGAGGTGGTGGCCATTTACCGTCGATCTCCTTGCGGGTCGACAGTTTCTGCGCCGTTATTCCCTCTCAGAAGAAGAGAAGTAAGGGTATGAATAAAATATAGAAGCCCTGAGCAGTGCAAGGATAATCGTAACAATCTTCAATCACCCGCCTGAGGTCGTTCGAGAAGTTTCATCATTGGAAACAGTCACCACGGAATCGGTGTCAGCACCATGCAAACTTTGGAAGGCTGCGGGAAGCAGTCAGGGTGCAATCCCCACCTGCCTAACCCCGGGACTTTGTTCCCCAACATTGCCTAATGGGTAATGGTGGACACTATACAGGTTATCAGGCATCACCAACCCCTCCAACAATATCTAACCCCCACAGGGAAAACCATAGTCTACCCTCCGCCAAGCCCTCTTTCTAACCCCACCCCCGGCAAGCATGCCGGTATTATAATAATATTATGATACCGGTAAAAACACATCACCCACACAACCAATATTGACACAAGCCGTCATGAAAGGTCACTCGACCTGTCCCCACGTCTGGAAGAACATGTTTTGTACGTATATGCAGCACTCAAGCACAGCACGATAAAAAAAACTTCCGAAAGCAACGAGCACGGCGCCACAGTGCAGATCCAACCACCAAACCAAACCAGACCAGACCAGACCAACCCAAGACAACCCACCAACTCTACTACAAATCACGTGACACCTGCCCACCCCCCCTCGAACCCACCGAGCAAGTTCAAATAAACGCGAGGCAACCCAAATTGCGCCATAAAAGATCTACAAGAAAAAATCCAGTCTTGGCTGAAACCCCCCCTCCCCTTGGCTTCCTGAGTGTGTTGTCTGCCTTCGACCGCACGGCCCCACCAACCAGCTTTTGGGTAACAAAAAAAAAAAAAAAAAGTTCTAGAAAGTGCCGACTCCCCCCCCCCACACACTGAGACAGTCAGACAGGCAACAAACATTCATTCAGGATCGTCCAGATTTGCACTTCCTTCTTACAAGTACCATATTAAGGCTCTTTGAAAATTGTGACTTTTGACTACAGCAGTTTTTGGGCAGGCCGGTTACGGTACAGTACCAACTTGGAGTACCGGTGTGATAGTGATGGAGATGGCATCCACAACAACCAGATGCTACAAGAAAAATATAAAGGAGTAAAAATGAAAATGAAAAAAGCCAAAAAAAGCCAGGGTTCGCCTACTAATGTTAGATAGAATTGAAGGAAATTGTTTTTGTGAATGAAAAAAGCCAAGGTGAAAGAAACCACTTGCTTTTCTTTAGCCAACCAATACCGGTAAATCGATAGCTACGGCAAACGGATCAAAAAAAAGTAGAATAGAATAATCTCAAATTAATCTCGACAACAAAAAAAAAAAAAAAGGAAAGCAAACGGAGGGAGACGCATTTTTCCCTCAAAAGTCTCGCAACACAGGCTTAGCCCCACCCTTCCAATCGTCACGTTCGTAGTAACGGAACACGAGGTCGTATCCATCGAGATCGTGGCGGATCTTGTCCACACGTCGGTACCCCTTGATACAATCCATGCGAGCAGATCTCTTGGCTGCAGTTACATCGTAAATGTTCTCGCGAGCCCCGCGATCCGCCATGGCGGGCTTCGCCTCGAAGAGGGTGACCGAGAATCTGCCCGGGCGGAAGATACCGACAACGTGTTCCAGGATCTGGGCAGTCTCCCGGCCAGAGTTACGACCCGGAACGTTGGTCTCAAAGGAGGCATATGAACAATGGGGCTCGGGAGTGACATGCACGGTAAAGTAGTGTGTGGTGGGGATCTTCGGGTCAGGTGAGGGGATGATCGCATTCGCCGAGAATCCGCAAGGTGTAAACAGGTAAGAGTCTATCATAGCTCCCGGGTACGTGGAACGGGGATAAACCTCACCCAACCCACAAGCTTCCGAAACAATTGATCCGAGAACATGCCCCTCACTAGTGAGCTCCTCGGGCAAATCATCGGAGCCAGCATTCTCCTCCATCAAGACTGGCTCCTTGGACCTCTCCTCGTTCTTTTGGCGCCTGTACTGGCCGGCCGCGACCGCACTCGCGGTTTCCAAGTAGAATTGCTTCGCCTTGTCTTGGTCCAGATCAGTCATCAGAACCTCCAAAGTCTCATCAAAAATGCCATTGCCACTTCCGCCATCACGCCCGCCACCGATGTTCTTATAGACAATGTCTTGGGCTTCGGGGAAGGTGACCAGCTGCGTCTCCGTCTCGTGTCTCTCGAGCGGATCGGCTGGCTCGTTGGTGGGAGTAAGAGGTGGTGAGAGCATGCTGCCAGGGTTGGTCAAGTAAAGATACCAGTGTTCTCCGTTCATCTTCCCAACCATGTATGCACTCCCGTTAAGGAACCACTCGTCCAAGTATTCGACTTCGTCTCTCCAGCTCTTGTGTGGATGCATCTGCTTGTCAGGAAACATGAAAGACTTCCTGGAATAGAAAACCCTGTATGGGGTAGCAAATGCACCACCACCAGGTCCAAATCCAGCTTCCTCGCTTGCGATGCGTAGCATCTCGGGAAGGCCATTGAGCAGTGTAGTAGTCCCGCAGGTCTTGAGGATGACCTTGTGAGGGAAGACGAACATACTACTCTCGCTCAGAAGGTATGCATCTACATGTTCATTCTTCAAAACCGATAGGACCTTGCACTTGACAATATCAAGCATCTGCTCCCATCTTTCCTTGGAAACGCATTTAAGACCCTCGGGCGATGCGGACGGAGGAAGCAATTCCGGAGAAGGGGTGAACCAAACTTCGAGGAGCTTTTCAGGACCTGTTACACAGATATCAGCACTGTTACACACAAAGCAATAAGGATTTGTGTTACCCTCGAAAGCGTTGGAAGAGTCGAGGTCAATGGTAGCTTGATGGTTGATAGAAAGTGTAGTTCCTTGGGATTTGCTAAGCGCTGTGTTAACAGCGACCAAATCGAGTGCGACCATTTCTAGATGCAGCGGTGGAAAGACGATAGTAGTGGCTAGGCTTTTTTTTTTTTTTTTATCTCAAAACCCGAAGTCCCTTTAAACCAGTTAGACAATGCGGTGCCTACCGGATTATGGAGGACGGAGACACAGAAGACGAGAGAATTGAGGTGTCAAACGACGAGCCGTGCTGGCGGAGGAGACCTTGGAGGAGGTTATCGGTGGATAGTGTGAATCAATTGTGCAGGTGGAGCGCTACCCGCCCCGTCGTCAAGATACCGATACCGTGCAGGATACCGGTTCAGCAGACGAGGAGGTGTGAGTTGTTTTTTGTAGGTCGGGGGGTAGTTTTCAAGTTGAACACTAGTGATGCGAATTGAAACTGGATTACCGGAGGTCGTGTTATCTGGGCCTGGGTTTCCAAAATTCAAGCGTTAGCAACGTCATACATGATGTGAATTGATTTTCAATTGAAAGGGGACAATCGAATGGAAAATTGCTCATTCCATTTTCAACGAAGAACAAAGGCAAGCAGGACCATTCAAATGAACTCACTTCTTTCGCAGAGACAAGAAACGGAGCAAGTCCTTTCGGCTCATAAGAATGAGAGAACGTGCTCGAAAGATTTTTGGGGTTTGGCTATCTACAGCCTAAAAACGGGGTCCAGTGTGTTCGCCAGAGCTGTGGACGAACAAACTTGGCTTCCGCGTACTAGTAATCTGCGTGGGGACAGTGATTGCGTCGGCGGACGACAGCTTTGCGGTTGCTTGAGGCGCTAATATGGTGGGGCAGTCACGAACACAAATTTGGGGGAGGGGACAAATGGGAAATTTTAGAGTCGAAACGAAAGTTATCGAGAGAACAGGTACGGAAGCTAAACCGATGGAATAGGCGGGTGTCTAAATCGCCAGTGATGGGTAAAATGTGAGAAGGTTCAGGGAAGGAGCGGAGAGGAGCAGTGTAGGCGGGCAAGTGCTTTTATGGAGGCGGCGGGAAGAGGACCTTTTTTGAACACTCCCCAGATTGTGGGAGAAAGTGGGGCAAACAAGACAGGATTATTATTTTTTTCCCCTTCTCACTCGCTTTGTGTGCGTATGTCTAGATTGGTATACGGTAGAAGTAGGGGGGTTCCTTTCTTTTTCCTTTCTCGGTTTTTTTTTTTGCTCCTCTGTGGGGGGAAGAAGGAAGAGTTGGAGGGCGTGGAAGGAAAAAGCAAGCAAGATACCAATGCCCCGGGGTGGTGGCATCCAGGCGGGAAAGGAAAAAAGGGTTCGCTTCCTTTTTTTTTTTTTTTTCCTCCACTATTAACCTACCGGTATTACCGGTGTTACTTTGCCATCGCTCTAGTATTTAACTCTTTCCACAAAAAAAAAAAAAACCTCGAGATTACACCAAATCACCAACGACTCAGCATACCATAGACACCTAGAAAAATGACACATATGCGGCAAACCCGACCACAAGAGATGAGAAATTAGGGATTCCGTAGTCAGTCTTTGACGCGTAGGGCTACCCTTTTCTAACAGTTATTGCCGGAACGGCTTCTCCCTTAGAGAATGACGATTGAGATGTAATTGTACCTTTCTCGCGGCTTTCCCAGAGGAAAGGGTCAGAAAGGGTCTCTTTTTCCCCTCCCCCTTCCCCCACCCCCTCCTATACTCGTAGTCTTCTCATATCATACCTCACCCAATCCGGATCTCTACCCGTACCTTGAACCCTTCCCCCTTCTTTACCTTGTCTCGATCGCTCTGCCATCTGCCCCTGGTAGTCTACCCATCCATAGCTAGCCCATGCTGTATGGTTGCACGAACCATGTACAAGTACCGGTATGGCTGTCTACATAACACCTACCGTACAAGTATCATACCGTTATTCCAATGCCGGTATCATCTTCGCAGCTATCGTGCTGGTGTCCCGCTATATAAATAGAAGAGTCCTTCATTACGCTGCCTAGCACAATATCTTGTGCCAGGAACAGGATATTTGATCAGCTAGTAAAGTTGTGTATAAGCACACACACATCCATACCCGTGGGCCGGTGCCATACTTGCTCGCCTAGCCAGAGGTATCATACTGTACGAGTACACATCGCCAACTGTCGGTACGTGGGTCAAGTTAGCCTGGCAGAACTGCACGATACCAGGTATTGTAATGCCTAACCTAACCACAGTCACTAACCCGACCCCCCTTCCTGGCCATCACCAACCTCCAGGGTGATATTATCCTCCCCCTATGCGCTCAAATTCACAAAGGAAAGCGGTCCTGCGGGGTTTTATTTTATTCTCCTCAACACCTTTTTTACCCTTCCATTCCCCAGCGGACATCACATCACACATCGAATTCCTTCGACAATCCCCCCCCTCCCCCCCCCACCCATTCCTACTCCTACTTCTTCACCATCCCGTCCCTGCAAAATGTAGGGCAAGGTTACCGCAGGGGGCTAGCTAACCAAGGACAATGTCATAAATGCAACGGAGGAGATGATAACCCCCCGATCTTGTCATCCCTTGAGATCAGAGTTTCGAGATGCCACTGGCAGTGCGCGTCAATAAAAAATAAAAACAAAAAATCCTACTCCCGACCTACAAACGTTTGGTCAAGATGACTTTTGATTCCCTGCAATCGCATGGTACCGTAAGCAAGGTAACGCAACACAAGGCCAAACCATCCACCCGTCGTCGCCGCAGTTCACTTTAAATGTTATGAAACAGTCCGGAGATGGGAGACAACGAAGCAACTACAAGTAGCAAAATAACCGAATGCTGACTAGTGTCAAGGTATGATACCGGTATTATAACCTGAAGGCGAGGGGAAAAAAACAAGATATTTGTTGCCCGCCGCCTCCTGCATCACAATAATACTGGATGCTGTGGTGTATTGTGTTGTACTGTACAGATACAAGTTTTTTTTTCTCCTCCGTTTCTCCTCACTTCATTTCCAGCCCATCAATCAATCAATCAATCAATCAATCAATCAATCAATCAATCAATCAATCGGACGGACGGACGGACAGGATTCGCTTCAGCCTTTACAATAGAGTCTAGTCTATAACTACCCTCACCCATTGGACAAGAGCGTGCAAATTTCGAGCCGAGAACAACCATTTCTTCAAACCATCCTCCCCGGGCTCCGCATCGGAGGGCACGACGAAAGAATGCGCTATGATGTGAAATAATCATCGTGGTGCCGTAGCAGTGAAAAGGGGGGACCCACCTGCGCTCAACTGGGCAATCAAGGAAAGGTCATCATCATTGTCACGCAGTCGTAGAGTTGAGACTCGCTACTGTAGCTAAGGTAGGGCGAGTTGACTGGCCAGCCTCCAATTCGACGCCTTGGGAGCGCCCGGCAGCAAAGCGGCGGGAAACAGGACGCTGAGCAGACAATGCTCAAGCGAATGATGGGGAGAGAAAAATATTTTCCTTCCTCTCGCATCGATTCTGCAGATGAACGGGCGAAACCGAATTACCGTACCGGCGAAGTGAAATAAAAATAGGGAAAAAAACAATAACAGCCATTTCATTCGGGGAGCGCACGAACGCACGTGCCCAACTCGAGCGCTGGCATTATGTGGCCTTTCCAACTTGTCGAGTTACCGTGAACGATTTCGGTACGATAATGCGCCTTGAATCAACTCCCGTGAGCGAGCGGAATCAGAACAAAAACAAAACAAAACAACAGGAAGATATTTTACTTTTTTCCTTCGCTTGCCGTAGGGTACGGACAGTCCCGTCGGACATCATACCTGTCCATGGAGCAGACAACTTTGCCCACCAGCTAGCTGCCCAGTGTCGAGGTTTACACGGAGGGAACAGCAGATACGGGATGGAGCAATGGAGGAGGAGGAACAAAGTCGGGAAACATAATAAAATATCGTAAAAAAACCCACGCTCACACACTGCAACCCTTTTCCGATCCCGATTTCCTTCTCTTCGTTCATCATCATAAATCGTAACTTCTCCTCCTTCTCCTTCATCTCCTCCATATTATAAGATAGGATATTATAATAAAAACAATTACTCCCCCTCCCCTCAGTTCCTTCATTCGGCCTTCTCCTCGCCTTCCTTCCCCCGTCCCTAGCTCATCCATCCGGCCATCGCATCGCAGCCCTACCCCAGCTGCCACCGTGCTCGCACCGAAACGCATGTATCCCCAAGCCCACCAGAGAATACTAACCTATGGTACGCAAATTCCCTCAAGAGCCTCAAACCAAATCCGTCCGTCCCTACATATCATCCATCACCACCGGTAGAACCCTTACCCTTCTCATGCTGCTGGCTGTCAGGTCCAATGAGACGCTGCATGGCGCATGATGGGTGCTAAAAATTCAAATTCAAAAAAATCTAACCAAAAAAAAAAAAAAAAAAAAAATAGACACCCATCACCCTGGCGTCCACTTCCGGGAACAGATACCGGGAGGTCAATGGGTAAAAATGGATCGACGAATTAGAAACCTGTAGAGCGTTTTTTTTTTTGTTACCAGAGGTTGTGACTGGAGGGCCAACTTTTTTGTGATTAATTAAATCCTTTGTATATAACTTATGATGCTGGAGTACGGTACAGTACCGGAATTATGTAGGTGTCACATGGGTTTTTCTTTTTTCTTTTTTTTTTTTACTCCGTGGAGTGGTCCACGGTACAGTACCGGCAGTGCATCTATAGCATAACAGTGCGGTCTGAACGATACCGGTGGGCAGCACGAACAGCTACCGGTGTCAGTTATTTGGCATAATAGATGCCAGAGGAGCTAAGCGAATGCGCTGGATTTCGTGGTAACCGGCAAGGGTTCGGGTCTAAACGGCCCTGAATGGCGGGAAGAGAGAAAGAAGAAAAAAGAAAAGAAGAAAAAAAAAAAGCAGATTCGAAGCGATGGAGTAGTTGAGGTCCCGGGGATTGATTTTGTACGGAACGGTAGGAGTACGAGTAAATTTTCGGCGATACTTGCGGGTCGGAGTTTTTTTTTGTTGTTGTCTCGTGTGGGTGTGTAAGTGAGTTGTATTAGCACCGGGATAGGAGAGAGAGGG